GCCGCTCGCAAGTCTGCCGGAAACTGCAGTCCCGAGGCATGGGGCTTCCGCTCGGCCATGTTGGGGCCCCCCGGGCTTGCCGGGAAGTGTAGTTTTTGCTTCCGGGCGCCTGGCGGGTTTCGTGTGTTTTTCTGCAGGCTCCCTGCTGCCCCTCGCGGCCGACGTGCGGTACTGCATCTCGGCGTTCGCGCGCCCGCCCTGGCCCCTCCCCAGTGGATGGTACAAACTGGGCTGAGATACCAATTGTTTCTTATGCTACATCCTACTAAAAGTTCAGAAAAGGATTGTTGGGGTGGTGCTTTTGCGAGGCAACCAATTTTTGTACTGCAGCTCTGTCTCTGTGCCCCTGTGCTCTGTCCAGCTGTCTGCCGGTACCAGCAAAGCGATCCTGTGGTGCCTGCAGGGTGGTGATGCCGCACTCATTGCTGCCTCTCAGTAAGGAAACGCCTGGAGGTGAGGCAGGTTGGGGCAGCCCTGGGAGTTCCCTGGGAGCTGATAAAAGAGGGGAAGAGGAGGAGCACCCCTACACCCCCCAGGTGTAGATGCCGTTGCCCCCCCAACTCACCAGACTTCCCCTTGAGCTTCCCCTGATCCCACTCACCCCATGCAGCTGCCCCCAGCTCCAGCGCCTTCCCTGAAGCCCGTCCCACAGCCACAGGCCGCCCCCAAGCCTTGTCGTAACAGTGGACAGCAGCCCCTCAGTGCATCTCCAGAAGCCCCAGCAGAAGGAAGAGCAGTGACCAGGGGCGATCTGTGGTAATAACGGTTGTTGCTTCTTCTTTCCTTTTCCCACAGGCTGCACTGAGGATGCAGTTGTCCATTCTTCCCCTGGGGTTACCACTGACTGCACTGCTGTAAAAGGGAAAGACACTCTTAAGAGAATACTTATAGGTAAAATGGTATTGATTAATAGAAGTATTGTGGTTAAGATGAAAAATTAGAAACAGGTGCTATGAAATAATAGAATAATAATAATAATTCTTATAAACCATGCAACCATGCTGCTTCTCACTTTGTCCCTTGTATAGCCCTTTTCATGGCTGGTTTAAACCCAATCCAGCTGGATCAACAAGAATAATAGAATTTAGAGGCATAGCAATTATAGAGGATAAATGATTAACTTGGAGTAAGCGAATTGTGAAAGATTACATATTTTAAAATAGATATAAGTTAAATGTCATTATGTAAGTTTTTCTTAGAAGTGCAAAGGTGAGCAGACAGGAAGATTACTCAAGAAGATCAGTGAATACAGTGCCCAGAATGGAACCAGCAGGCTGCAACTTCTGAAGAGGCACTGAGACGAGACGAGAAGAATCAGCTGTGTTTGAAGACCACTGTGGACTTTTATAGCATTTTAAATTAATGAGAAATTTGGAACTGAGGGTTCATGGGAAACCACCAAGAACTTTGAAAATAATACCTATCGCATAATGTTAAATTTAGCATCTATATGGAACCTGATTTTTGCAATGCCTTTGCCACTCACTGACGTGATGGCCCACCTCTGAGTTGCCAATAAAGCAAACCTAGAGTTACCCACTGACTGAGTTAAATTCCTTTAACACCTGCCTCAGGCTTGTGTAGGTTTTTTCTACCTGGCCTTGCTCTCTTTGTGGTGTGGTGATGTAAAGGGATAGACGGAGCACTTACCAGCTGTAGACAGGAACTTCCATGGCTGAAGCTGCAGAGGCTAGAGAAAGGTAAAGAAGATTAAATCAAAGGCCATCCCACTGGCAGTTGCCTCCAGCTGCAAGGAAGAGACTGCCTGCATCTCCAGGTGAGGAAGGATCCCTCTTCATACTCTGCATCAGGCCAGACTGCCAGTGTGCAGCACAGGGTCCGTACATGTCACCAGCAGCGCGGTACATCTGCGTAGGCGCAAGAGTGAGTGAGGCTACATGTCTAGGAAACCTCGTCTTGTAAGAGCTCTAAGACACCTACATATTCTCTTAGGTGGAGGACAGCCAAGCGACTGGGGTTACAGAAGAGGAAGAGAGAGAAGGAGAAAGAAGCATCTGAATTGGCAAATTCTCCTGGCAGCATTGAGTGGGTGAGAGCTGCGGTGAGTCCCAAGTCCTTGGTGCCCCTGTCATGTGCATCCTGGTCCCTCCGTGCCTCTCCCCTGGCCGGCTCTTTCTCACACTGCTGTGATTTTTTTTCCTCATTTTTTGTTTGGTTTTGTTTTGTTCTGTTCCCCTGTGCCCCCTTTCTCCATCTCGTTCTGAGCGGTTCCCAATCCCCATCTTTTAGTTTTTCCCTCTCTCTACCCTGTAGCCTGTGGCTACTTTTTCCTTCTCCATCTCTCTCCATCCAGCTCCCGGCCACTATTTTTGTGTTCCTCCCTCTCTGTCCTGTAGCCTGTCAGTATTTTGTTGTCTCTGGTTCTCTCTGTTCTGCTCCCTGTCCCTGTTGTTCAAGGTCTTCCTTCTCAGCTCTGTGGCACATTGCAAATCTATTTCTTTTTACATCTCCCTTTATTCTGCTCCTTGCCCCTCATTTTGAATTTCTCTCTTTCTGTCCTGTTGCCTCTCAGGATTTTTCTCCTTTCTCTGTCTCACTCTCTCTTGTTCCCTGTCCCTGTTTTTCAAAGTCTTCCCTCTCTGCCTTCTAGCGCACTGCGATTTTTATTCCCCTATCTCGGTGTGTCTGGTTCCCTGTCCCTCTTTCTTCATTCCTCCCTCTCTGACGCATGGCCTGTTGCTTCTTTCCTTTCTCCCTCCCTCTCTGTCCATCTTGCCGTCCCCATTTCTAAACTTCCCTTCTCTGCTGGGTAGCCCCCTACAGTTTTGTTTTTTTTCTCTTTCTGTCCAGCTCCTTGTCTCTAACTTTTAATTCTTCCCTCTCTCTCTGGAAGCCTGTCAGGACTTTTCTTCTCAGTCACTCTGTTCAGCTCCCTGTACTTGTGTTTTAATTCTTCCCTTGCTGCCGTGCGGCCTGTTGCTCTCTTCCCTTTCTCCACCTCTCTCTGTCTGGCTCCCAGTCCCTTGCTGTGTTTGGGCCCATTGTGTTTTTTTCTTTCTCTGTTTCTCTCTGGTATTTTTCAGTGTCATCGTCATCTTTCTCCGTCTCTCTGTCTGGCTCTGGATATCCATTTTCTAATTCCTCCTTCCCTTCTCTGTAGCCCATCTTCCCCCTGCCACCTCTGGCTGGCTGTCCCTGTGTTTGAATTGCCCCATCTCTGCCCTCAAGCTGTTGCTGTGCTTCCTGTGTGTGTGTCACGCTGCGTGCGGGTCTTTGTCCCTGTCTTTTCATTCCTCCCTCTTCTCCATGTAGCCCATCACTATCATTTTCTTTTACTGTCTCTCTGTTTGGTTCTGAATCCCCGTTTTTCCCTTCCCCCGCCCCTTTCTCTGCCCTGTTGGCCCTTGCAAATTTTTTCTTTCTCCATTTCTCTCTCCCTGGTTCCAGATCCCTATTTTTTTCATTCCTCCCCCTCTGTCCTGTAGCCCATCTGTATTTTATATAGCTACTACTTTTTTCGAAGCTGGCGCATGCGCAGTAGCATCGTTTCCGACGCACTCGCTACTGCCACTCGGCGACCGAATTTTGATACTGCAGCTTTTTGTCGGCACATGCGTAATAGCGTTGTTTACACGTATGGCTGTTCCCTAGCGACTACTCTTTAAACTGGCGCATGCGCAGTAGCACTTTTAAAATTCCGTGGTCGCTGCTGCCGCCTGGTGGCCAAATTTTGCTACTCCATTGCCGCGAATGCGCGGTGACGCCCCCGTGCTCCATCCCGCAGTCCGCCGGTAATGGCAATGCGATGCTGCGATGCCTGCAGGGTGGTGACGCCGCCGCGTTTGTCGCTGCCTCCCAGGAAGGAAACGCCGCTGCCGCCCCTGGGCAACCGCCGCCCGGCCGGAGCTCGCTGTGGCTGG